TCACTGACCCAAAGAACCTCACTGACCTAAAGAACCTCACTGACCTACAGAAGCTCATCGACCTACAGAACCTCACTGACCTACAGAACCTTACTGACCTACAGAACCTCACTGACCTACAGAACCTCACTGACCTACAGAACCTCACTGACCTACAGAACCTTACTGACCTACAGAACCTCACTGACCTACAGAACCTCGCTGACCTACAGAACCTTACTGACCTACAGAACCTCACTGACCTACAGAACCTCACTGACCTACACAAGGTGAGGTCAGTGAACAAGGCCAGGCTGATTCTGGCAGATCCTGATCACCACTCCATGGTGAGTTCAGGTGTTTTCCATCTCGACGGTGGTATCTGCTGCCCAGATGTAGAACCACCAAGCAGAAGAACTCATTCTTCGCTGTAGTGATCAGGCTGTGATGATTCCATGTGTTGTTATTTTAATGCATCATTGTCCAGTATGGATGTTTTGTGTGACTACTGACTGCGAAACAAATTGCCCCTTGGTGATAATAAGGATTCTTGAACTTGAACTTGATTAGGAGCTCGCATGTGACAGCTGATAGTGAGAGGACAGGACATGAGCAGAGAAACAGATACAAACTGAGGACACTCATAAAAAAAAGAATCACAGAACATATATGAACCTTATCAGAAAACACACAATACAACTAATAAAACTAAAAAAATAAAAAATAAAAAAGACAAAGATTCTGAAAGTGAGAAAAAAAATTAATTATGAGGATTTTGTTGGTCTTCATGAGTTAAAGTGAGGAACTTCTAAGGCCACAAGGAGCCTGAGGTTCTGTGGACTCCTGGAATCATAGAATCCTCTTGTGGTCTCGGTCCACATCTGGACCGGTTCAGAGCTTTTAAGGTGGTCATAATGTTATGGCTAATTAGTGTACGTTGGTAAGGCTTGTATGAATTTTGGAGCCGCAGTTTGAACTGTGGGTCTAACAAACACAAACAAACAAACAAACAAGCCATGGATATATTACAACCCCAGCTGCCCCCCCCCCCCCCCCCCCCCCACCTGCTGCTATAAATAATTCTCATTGTTTGTCTTCTTATTTCCTTTTTGTCACATCTTCTTATTTCTCAGCTTTTCTTTTCTTTTATCTCACCTTTGTCTTTTTGCCTTCAGCTCCTTCTTGTCCCAACTTCTCCTCCCTCACCCAGAATACAAATAACTCCCCTCTTCCACCTCCTTCTCTTCTTCATCCCTCCTTCTTCCCATCTCTTTCCATCCATCTCCAGATTCTTTTTTTTACTCCCACAGCAGCTCGTGTTCCCCATAAATTGTCTCTGCTTGACTTCTTGCTCCTCATCTTCAGCATGACTCATAGATTTTACCCCCTCCTCCTCTCCTCCTCCTCCTCTCCTCCTCCTCCTCTCCTCCTCCTCCTCTCCTCCTCCTCTACACTCTGTGGTTGCTGAATTTACCTCCCTCTTCCTTTTTAAATAATTTTCATCATTCTTTCAGTTTTCCTCTCCCACACGCTCCTCGTCTCCCCCCAAAGGAACTTTAATTGTGTAAAGCTGAGTCAGCAGTTTTGCTGTGAGCAGAGCACCGGGCTGCATCGTCAAACATCAGATCTTTGTTCGTGGAACCACGTTGTCATGGAGATATCTGCCTTTAAATGTCAAATTAAAGTAAGTCTTCACCTGCAGTGTTGAGTTTCTGACAAGTCTTTATTTCTTCACATCATTTAAGTTCACGTCAGACAAAGAGAGACTTCCCTCTGTGTCCTGGAGTGAAACCTGAGGCTTGAAGGACAAAGACTCGTTTCTCTTGACGAGTATCGAACGCCTACTTTCATCTGGACCTGATCCCTGAACCTACAGGAGGATTTATTTACAAAGGAAAAGTGAAACAAACAAACAAACAAACAAACAAACAAACAAACATTTTGAGTCCTGCCCATTTTAACTGTTTTCTCCAAAGATTCAATTTAACACGACTTTTGATTATTATCAATTTTATTCCATCCATCCATCCATGGCATCCATCTATCCATCCGTCCATGGTATCCATCCATCCATCCATGGTATCCATCCATCCATCCATGGCATCCATCCATCCATCCATCCATCCATCCATGGTATCCATCCATCCATCCGTCGATGTTATCCATCTATCCATCCATC